TAGGATGCACTCGGGAGATTTGCTAAGCACTCAAGAAGCTAGAGTCGCTCTCGGCTGTCGCCTCGAGCGACTCTTACGCTTCCTTCGTGCTTAGCAACCTCCCGCGTGCATCCATAACTCAATAGTGTACGCTGTGGTGTTTACAATTTGTTAATTCTCCGCAACTGACTATTACTATTAGTGCGATGTTTAATTAATTCATAAACAAGATAATCCCTTCAAGTACTCTGTGCGCCCAACAGCAACCTCCTCTACATTTGGATTTCTACGGCCTCTTTTCGTCGCCTTAAAGTTGAACTCAAACTTCTTCCCTAATTCAAACTGAGTATTCCATGACTGATTTTCCAACACAAATACTGTATTCTAGATCTGTTCGTTTTGCATCTGTATATTCGCTTCCCACACTTCGAGCATTTTAATTGGTTGAGAAAAGATAACGATCATGTTCCAACTATTGCTTAACGCGGGCCCGGGGGTGATGCTGAGTTTGCCGATAAATCCTTGATTCCACTGGTGTTCTATATTGGCACCTCCTTCGTCAAAGCAATGAATGTTCCGACCCAAAGCAAGCAAAAGGAACAGCGGAAATCTGATGCGAAAAGTAGTCATGGGTTCTGTAAATGTAAGAAGTCAACTCACCATGTGAGATTAATGTGTGGCTGGGTGTAGGTTGGCCGAATGAAGACGAGAGGTAGCAAACCAGTGAAAGCTAACCCCGTACAAATCTACGTTATAACAATAAACATAATTCCTCTTGATTTCTTCATAGAATTTTCTTAAATAAGCCGTGAGAAAAAAAAATTCAAGTCGTCCTTTGAATTTGAGGATGATACCGGAAAGTATTTGAAAATTAACGAAACTCTCTTTGAATAAACGCTTGAGTTGAAATGTTGCGTCTTTCAAAATACTGACCATCCTGGTGAGCATGTAATTTTCTCTGCTTTTTCTGATAAAGCAGAGTTCGTGCTTGAAAACATGTTCTGGAACGCAGAGGCGACGGCAACAGAGAAACATAAGTTTTTACTTTAAAGCGAGAAAACTCGTCAAGGGGCAGACAGCACTTTCCGCTTGAGCCTTTTCAAGAGGGATGTGGCTTCTAATCTGAGTAGAAGTGGATCTTTTTCAGTTTATATCAATGAAATTGTGTCAAACGTTAGATTTTGAACGCAGAAAATGATTATAAACAAGAAATGTAAATTGTTTACAGACTTTATCTGTAGAAATTTAAATGCATCTTTGTGTTCACTGTGTAGATATTATAATCTCAGGGAAACTTCTGGCGCACCATTTGTTGAAGATGAAAGGTGTTGTAAAACTGTAGCATGAACACGTGCAAATATGAGTGTGTAGTGGAAAAATCATGAAAACATTTGAGCACGTCTCAACTTTTCTTTTTTTTCAAGCTCTTGCAATCGAACCGACCCAACTGAGCTGGTTCGGAATCCAAAATTCAAAGCCCCACCCCTTAAGATTTTGTAATATTTTAAATGTTCTGCACCCTTGTGAATACTTCCAAGATTAGAGTGTTCTTTGCTTACAACATACATTGCATAAAATTTTATTCAATAGAAGGACTTTTTTAAGGTTTATTAGCCATGCTGTGATCTTTAACTTGACATGTGCTACGAATAAAAATCGTTTTTCTTTTAATTGAGCCCGTATTCTTGTGCGGGTCACTAAAGCAACCCCTGTACGGTGAACGCGATAATTTCAGTAACATCATAAAGAAGCGCCGGGAGGTGTGGTAAGATGAGACATTTTTTTTTTCAAATTTTTTTGCAACACTTTATTGAGCAATATTGTCCTCCTTCAGGCAAACAATTTCTCGTCCAAAATTTCTTCTTTAGAAGCCACTTCCTTCGCCAAGGCGGGTGAACTCTGCTGTTGCAGTCGGTTGATTTTCACCTTTCTCTACTTTGCGCCCCAAGAACCGGAACTTCAGTGGACGACCAGCCTTCAGTTTTTTGTTCCAGAACCTGTTCTTAAGGATGTACTGCTTCTTGTCATCAGAAATCGAAGCCACCTTTGCATTCCATACTCCAAGGCGTTTCAAGGGCTTTGAGAAAGACACTGTGAGTTGCCAACCATCTTCGACATCGTCTTCGAGGGCAATCGATATTTCACCGTAGAATCCTTTCGGCCACTGATTGAAGATAGTGACTTCGGCATCTTCGGAGTGAACTCGGGGCGAGTGAAGAATCAACAGAGCAACAACTAAGGCAGTGATGGTACACTTCATCTTCCCTAAAGGAAAGTAAATTCAAATACATCATGCAATTGTAAAAGGAAAAGCTAATTATTTATTTCGCCTTCGGATGCTCCAAAAACTGAGCTACAGAGAACGGCACTACCAAACGCATTTGTTGAATCACGTGCTGCCTTTAATGACCGTCAAATTGTTTGTCTTCGAAATACGAGGGTCTCAATGGAATGATGCAGGGCATTTACGGCAAACGGTTAAAATTTGGCCAATTTAACGGCTAAAGGAGTAATTAATTTCTTTCGGTTGCTAATAAAAGAACAATTTTCATGGTTAACTTGTCTTACGACTAGCGGTTACGATTTGCCAATTTTTCCGCAGGATAGCAAAATTTTTTGCCATTTACGTTTAATCCTTCTGAGGGCTTAGTTCAAATAGGGGGAGGGGGCGACAGAACAGTGCATGGAGATGGTGTTGCAAAGTGGTGCTCCAACTATATATAATAAACGGCGGTCGCAACGGGGTGATGGCTCGTATATTTGGGCTCTCGGTTAAAATTTTAAAAACTTACTGCTAACCGTTAATTTCTTTCCGTTGCGATCAAAAGGGAAATGCATGTATGGCCATACATGCATAAATTTATTTTCAACAGTGTTTCTATCTATTTTTTTTGGCTCTCTTTAGAACATTAATTCTGTTGTCGAAGTACCAGATTCCTCTATAAGAAATAATATACCTTTGTTGATGATCAAGAAAGAACGAGAAAAAGCGCAATGAGATGAGATGTTGAAAGAAGCCTGAGGATGATATTGAAACTGCTTAGTGGAAAGAGGCAAATTCATGTTAAATAGAACAAATGACTTTCACCACCATTTAATTTTTCATGGTAGTTAAACTGGGAGCTTTTGGTTTAAACCGGCAATTTTTTCAACATAAGCTGCCGACGAAGTTTAATTACCATTAAGATAAGCTAAATGTGACGAACCTAAAAGCAAGACAACATTGCAGATAAAGTTGATTGGTATCGTACGAAAACCGGCTGGCGAAAAAAATCGCACCTTTCAAATTAACTTATTTTTTAACTCAGTGCTATTACAAGATTTTGTACAACAAAGGAACTATTACCTCGTTTAAATTCTTCTTTGACGGGTAATTCCGTGCTTAATGGGCGCTTGCAGACAGAATGCGATGTAAATGATTGAAAGAAATGATACCTAACGGTTAAATACTGTTTTTTTGCCCTGATCATGACACATTTTATCTTGAATACCTTCAGTTCAAACAAAAGTTTTAAACACTTATCAGTTTCGTAAATAGTCTGTTTCAACAAAGACTTAAGGTAAACATAGTGGAAGTAAAGCATCTTTCACCATGTAAACAGTGATTCTGAAATATTATAGCTAAATCACTAAACAAACTCTGGGCAAATATGTTGACCTAGTCTGGTTTCACATTTACATATTTTAGAGCCATACGATTTATTTGGGAAGCTCACGGCCTGAAAGCTTCTAACTTACAACACATGGACTTTTTGTGAAAAAAAAAGAAAGAAAGTCGTGGTAGTTGAGAGTTGAATGCAAACAACCAAAAATTTCATGAGAAAAAAAATTAAGCTCAGCATTCTCGAGCTCGTTGCTTGTAAGGTAGTGACTCGAACAGTACCAAATACCTGTGAACTGTTGCTTCCTGGTACTCATCAAAACCTTCATCCACTTATTTCCAAATTGTTAAAACTTAGTCTTGTTATTTTCCGTTTCCAGCACTTTCCGGTAGCTTTGAAAGCAATGCTTTCTCACACGTTTGTTAACTTCTCTCATTTTTTCTCAAGGGAATAAAATGGCTGGGATTGTTGCGTGTCTTATGGCAAACACAAGCTTCCCCTGGTGAAAATTTATTCCCATCTCCCTTTAACGCCCTCCGTGTGGCTTACTAAATAATACACAGATTACATTGCCACAACGGCATAAATACGGAATGGAAAGAGGATGTTCTGAGGTTCATATTTAAAGAAAAAGTGAGCATTCATGACAACTCAACCCAAGCCAAAAATCCTGTTGACGAGATACATATGACACAGATTTTCGTTCTGGGACACGCAACAATTTGATCCCCCTACGAAGAAGTCCAATCTAATATAAATCTTCGGAGTCGGATGCATGTTTTCTCTCTTGGGCTCTTTAATTGTGCATCAGACCGAAAGACCCAAACTTGCATAGGAAGTTTTATATTTAACCAAGAGATCATATTAACATTTAGTTATTAAAAGCAGCCAATACGTCAGTTTTAAGTTTCAGGAGTATTAATTTCATTCATTTGGAAAGTTTATAGTACATAGTAATACCATTATTGTTCCTTAAGCTGCGTACAAGCCGCTGCCCTCGCCCAATTGTTCAAAAGACAACTCAATGTTCTTCAAGGGCTTTTTATTACGCTTTGTAACGGTGAATGGGAAACTCAGTGTTTTCTCTGCCTCCAGTTCAGCATTCCAGCGTCGATTTTCGAGCACGAACACTTGTTGTTTTTCTTTGGACACGATCCTTGCTTGCCAAACCTCCATTCTTCTTATCGGCTCAGAGAAATTCACTGTTAATCTCCAGCCTTCTGGACCGACGGGTGTCAAAGGAGTGATCTTAAAAGTGCCCCAAAATTGCCGTCTGTGTTCATGTCTCTTTTTCCATTCAGCTTCGTCTTCTGATCTCACCCTAGCCACCAGTGAGATTATAACGAACGCAAACAGGGCAATGTTTCTGATGCAATTCATGACTCAAAGCTGTGGATTAGTAATGTTGTGATGAATAAAAATATTTGATTAATGGAAAGATTTGTCTCCATGTAATAGTCTTACAAAATTTATCATGAATTCTTAAACATAGCCATGAAACTGGTCCTGCAATGTTCGCCTTCACAGCATCAGTTCTGTTCGGTTGGAACGAGGTATAACCTTTAGTTATTTCATCATGCCTGCAGTGTTCGCACATATAAAAGTCTAGACTAGCTCAAACGAGATAACTTTTAGACTGAAGAACCTTAACTTCACGATCATTGAAGGAGGTCCAGTCCTTGCTTTTAAATAAGAGAATAAAACAAACAAGAAAGTACTGATCGAATGATTTCCTGCGAGAAAAAGTAAATGAACTGAAATTATAGCTATAATCCAACACTTCTGAACATGTGCCTTCTGTCGATCGTTTGTACGCAAAAGGGAGAATTATACTTCGTAGCTTTGATCTGCAATTTTTTCGTCAAGTTTGAATTAATACTAAAGGAAAATAGGCTGAAATCAGCGTTGAATGTTTACTTTCTACGGATATCGTAAACGGAAGGCCTGGTTATACTGCCACTGAATTGATTATGCCTCGTTTTGGGAAATTAGATGATACAAGTAGTAAGACAACTAGCTGGGGTGTTCCTTCAATTACCAAGTTACCTACCTAGTACACAACTCCTCTCGAAATAAAGCTTTTCTGCGGGAACCGACTGCTTTCAATGATAACTTTTATATCGCTTAACAAACAAATATCCTGGAGACAGTATTTTTATCAATGTTTGAAGAGCGAAGCTGTTTTGTCGCATCAGCTGCTGATAGAAGTGAAAGGCCTTAAATGAATCTCATATGGCTCTAAATTGTGTTTTTTGTAGCAAAAATCTTTTTGTGTCAACCTCACAGTTGATCAAATAACAATTAAATTTATTTTCAACATCTTTTTGCAAAGTAAATTTCGAGAATGAAATTAAAACTATAGATGCATTTTTCTCTCGAGAACAAACAGTTTTCTGTATGCATAGTGAGGCAAAATCATTTCAGCTGAGAGAAATGTTGCTTTTTCTTTGTGGAAATGCTATATTTCTAAAAAAAACTCCTTCGACAAAGTTGTCATTAAGAAAAAGCACAAGACCTTCTATCTGCCATATTCCCGAGTTTTCTATTTACTATCAATCTTTATGGTCCTTAGGACAAATAAGAGAACTTTATTGAGTCAATTTTAACAGTTTTATTCGCTTAGCAAAACTCTTTAATTCTTGGAATTTGTTACTAGCCAATTATCGAGTCGAAATCAGTTATACCGGGCACAGGCAGCCCAAGCTCACTACTAGAAAAGCGGACGTGACTCTTGATCTCACAGTGTTGCGCAACGTTTTATATTTGTAAAGGTTTGTGTGGGATGTTATCGGTTTGCCTTAAAAGAGAGAAAAAATGTCTTGATTTGAAGTAAAATGGACATGCCTTATTGCCTTGTTGTTTTCTTTGTTGATTACCAGCGTCTCAGGCCATTTTGAAGCGTTATAGGCGAGTTAACGCTATTTTGGTGTTCAACTGCTAAAAAAAAAGACAAGGCAGGAAAGCCATTTTAGAAGTGTCCGTCGCCCGAAGCGAATAATTCCGCCAAAAAATTACCACAAGTCTCGATTCCTCCAGAAAATCAAAGCAGAGATGTTACAGTTCCATTTCCATTCACTCAGTTCCCAATTCCTCCCACAGATCTTTCACTACCGATGCTTTTATCTCCAGTTCGATCGGCTTTCCAATTTCGAATTAGGCTCGTTGAATCGAGTCTAATTCGAAATTGGTACAATGTTGGTAAGGGAGACTTTAACCACCTGAAAAATAATGAATATTGAGCCGAGCGGGGAGTTTCAACAAAATTTGACGAGGGTTCGGCTATTTCCAAGAAGGCACTTCGTGCTTGAGAAGCTTTTGCTATGATAACAAAAAAGTGTCATTAACGGTTATTCTAATATAAATATCCTAGCTCTACCGTGGCAAAGGATGCGACTAACAATTATAACATAACCAAAGTAAAGCGCGCGCTCTGATTGGTCAATTTAGCGTCCCCCATTTTCCCATGGGTGTACGCTGCTGACGTGAGCAAATGCAAAGACTATTTTTCCGCGCGCGCTTGTTTTTTTTCTGGTCGCGTAAGATTTGTTAAATAAAAGGGAACTCTTTAGCAACAATGTATCAATGAAATGTTATAAAACAAATGGTAAACACCACACCGTACACTATTGAGTTATGGATGCACTTGGGAGGTTTGCTAAGCACTCAAGAAGCTAGAGTCGCTCTCGGCTATCGCCTCGAGCGACTCTTACGCTTCTTTCGTGCTTAGCAACCTCCCGCGTGCATCCATAACTCAATAGTGTACGCTGTGGTGTTTACCATTTGTTAAATAGAGGGATTTGAATACCTCAGTTTCAATTTCTACAGTCACAGTAAGTGGCATTGAACAATTTTATGTGCGCAAACTTGAGAATTTCCGGCAAAAAAGTGAACTTCTAGATAGAGGTCATTCGCTGAGGAATTGGCTTAGACTAAATGTTTATGGAATAAGGTTGGCAATTACCTGGGAAGGCCGCAGGCCCTATGTCCTTAGGGACTTTAAGAAACCACGAAGGCGACGTCAAGGAAGACTTCGATTAAAAAATGAATTTCTACTCTTAGTTAGAATTTCAAAAATAGCTGCAGGAGCTTTTCCAAATGGAAATTAAAATAATTTGCCGTTGCCAGTTTCGGTCCGCAGACGACGCAAATTTTGGCGATTTCACGTTGTTGTTTTGCATAGGACGGCTAAGAAATGTACAAAGTTTCAAAACGCACGTCCTGAGCTATTGTTCTGCCAATTAGATCTCTTGTTTTACCACGTCCTCGTTGCCGTTGCCGTTGCCGTCGCCGTCGTGGTTTCTTAAGGTCCCTCTTGTGTCAATCCGTAAAACTTCCCCAAGTCCCTCGTGGTTCTCAAAATGGCGGATTAACGTGAGTCACTAGTAACGTCTCTGATGACTCGTCCTGGCTCAGCCCCGACACTGGCTATCGTCGAACAAATCTGATCAGGTTTCTGCGGATTATTTTTTGTTTTGTCGGGTTCAGTTCGATTTTTGGTCAAGGTTTCACCTCTGCATTTTGACATTGTTATTGATTTGAACGTTAAAGCTACCTCGTCAAATGTCCCCGACCGGCTTAAGTGTGCGTTTTACTCTGAAGATATCTAAAATATCCTTTGAAGGACAATACATATTAAAGGGGAAAAAAGAAACCAAGGTTCGAACCATATACCCTCGGACTCAGAGGAGTACGTGTTAATCATTACGCTAGGTACACAGCGTACAAATTGACGGCGTTTTGTATTGATATAGGTTGGTATTGATATACATTTGATGCATATCCAATAAATTTACCTTTTCTATAAATTTTCTGCCCTGTTCCTGGTCTATTGAATAGCGTAAAGACTCTGTTTCAGCCAACTCTTCCTTCTGTCACAATTTTAGCATCAGCAAGAGCTGTTTATTGACCCCTCTGCATTTTACACCACATTGCTTTTTTACTACAATAATCTACAGCTATACAACTGAATAGGCACATGCAGTCATAGACTGCCTTTTATTTTAAAGAGCTTTTGAAACGAAGAAGCAATGGCGTAATCATCATTTGTCCTGAACTCTATCATGACTTTGTCCTCATCAATGCCTAAATCGAAAAGCTTCCTTTAACCTTTTACTTGCTCTTCTTTCGTTACGTGACCTCCGCTGAATTACGTAAGTTATCACCCACAAAACTATTGAGTGGTTTGCCATATTTAGCAAAGAATTTGATTCGATGGTATCGAAAGACACCAAGTAATAACAAGAGGTCTAGGTTTTCAGAACAAGTAGCTCCTAAAAATGTCATGATCTGATTTGCCTATGTCTTCGACAGAAAATAAAATTTATAAACATCAAGTCTTAATCATCTTCTTATCTTTATTTCTTATCAAACCAAACCAGGTCTAACTAATTTATACATGCTCTTTTTTAAAATTTATATTGCTTTAAGCTCTAAAGTTATCTATAAATGCTTGAGGTCATCAAACGCCGCTTTTGACATGAGTTTAAATCATCAGGGCAATTACATAAGGAGAGAAAATGTTACTTGAGGAATGGTGCATGTGGAGTTGGAAACCTGAGTTTTCCAAAATTCCGAATGAAATATTCATTCGAGCCCATTAACTCGTCTCTTGTCTTTTAAAAAGACGTTTTCCACTCACGCACCGGGGCTTCAATATAACTTAAATTGTAATACAGACACTGACTGCTTATCTTATTTCTGTCTGTTACTCTGCGTTTTACATTTAAAACACAGATATCTATATTTGTTGCGGTGGAAGTTTTTAAAGCGGCTAATGGAGTAAATTAAGGCCTTCATGATGAGGTTATTGATATCAACATGTACACCACCTCTTTCCTAGCCAACGATCTGCCACGTCAGTGTCAGGCATGTCAAATGATCATCGATAAAATATTAGCTAATGGTTCGCTGTGTGACATACAATTATCTTTATCTACAATAAGTTATCTCATTTTATCCGCCTTAAAAGCCCTGATGAAGTAGATAACACGTACATACATACTAAATTAAAATCATAAGCATGCAAATAATACTTATTTTAAGTGAGTTGTCAGATTTTTTTATAATTTAATATTAATTGTGCAGAATTGGGAGAATCAAATAACTTATATTGAACAGTTTCTCAAAAGAGAAAAATGTCTTGAATAAAGAGAATGTTATATTTATTTAAAAAAATTGACCCATTTGATTTCAGGTTCACGTGCTTATGCTTTATGTTTAACGGGGAATTCATCTCCGGCGTACGCTTTCTAAAGGAAGTTCCTGGAAATGAAACCGCATGCGGATCTAGCGTTAATTGAGTAATCAGAGAATGATGCGATTAGATTGGTCTCCACGTTTGATCACGTACTTCATGATCAGTATTAGTGAAACCAGCACGTTTGGGTTTCGGTTAAACAGTGTCCTTTATCCGTCAGCAAACAAAACACTTTAATACGTTTCTAATAGAATATTACTGTCAGAGTTTTGGACAAGAGTCCAACTTTTATAACCTTCTGTGTTAATAATGGTGATAGGACGGAGTGGAGTCCAATTCGGTCTGAGATGATACAGGTGATTAACAATCACGTGTATGATACAGGTGATTAACAATCACGTGTATGATTATAGACTAAATTGGACGACACAAAGTCCTGTTACTAATTAATCATAACCATTACGACATCCCCCAAAACAAACACATTCAGGGAAATTATCTCCAGTAGAGACATATTCAAATAAAAAAGTTCCTCCGTTTTAGAAGTTCTCCATATGGGGTTGCTGTAATTAATTCTGTGATTGATGGAATAAGCTAAGTGGAATTGATTAATCGCTTTGACGGTCCGATCACAGGTATCTGATCACATTCAACTGTCCTATTACTTTGTCCGGTTACAACATTACAGAATAATTGTTGAAAAAAAAAGTAGCTAAGCAGCCAATCACATTTGGTGTAGATTTTAATGGTTTTGATAATTAACAATTATTCCACGAGTGCGCGTTGGATATGAGATGATAAATAGCTAACGAGGCGCGTAGCGCCGAGTTGGCTATAATCATCTCATATCCAACAAGCGCGAGTGGAATAATTGTTTTATTAAAAAAAACGCTCCTAAGATATAAGACAAATCTTCTCGACCTCATTTTGTAAGAAGAAACCGGATGTTACAATGTACAGAAATTAGATTATGGTATAATGGCTCAAATACCATAGTGGCTAAGCCAATAAAAAGTCTTGAATTGCATTATCCAATGATCCAGTTTTTAATAAATTCAGTTATGCAGGGCTATACACAGCTACACAGGGCTATACACAGCTATACAGGGCTAAACACAGCGATACACGGCTATACACGGCTACACGCAGTTATACGCGGCTATACACGGCTATACACGACTATACAAGGCTATACACGGCTATACTCAGCTATACGGGCTATACACGGCTATACATGGCTATACGCACCTATACAGGGCTATACACAGCTATACAAGGCTATTTAACAATTATTTCAAGAGCACGCGTTGGATATGAGATGATAGATAGCCAACGAGGCGCGTACCGCCGACTTGGCTATAATCATCTCCTATCCAACAAACGCGAATGGAATAATTGTTTTATTAAAAACGCCACATTAAATTATTAAAAGCAACATATGGCAATCTGCGGTCTTTCCTTACACTTAGGTAGCACGGAAAGCCGTAAAAATCTTGAACAAAAGCTCATCTTTCAAACCGGCAGTCTAAATCCCACAGGGATCAACGAACGCTTTTCATTCCACTAATTTATTCTTGTTTTTCTCGTTGCCATGTTCCCACCAATAACGTAGCTCCATTTTCTGCCTTTAAAAGCACACACAACCCACAATTCCTCTATTCGCTCTGACGAAGGGCTAACGCTCGAAACGTCAGCTTTTGTAATCGTTATGGTGGCCAATTTACCATTTCAACTTTGTTGATATATCCAAATTACACTGAAACTTAGATTATGCGCTCCGATTCCCTGGCGATGAGTTACAGAGACCAAAAAAACCTGTGTCAAAACCTCTTTTTTAAGCATAAAGTAAAGAAAACAAAAATTAAGGCTTTGACAAATTTAACAATAATGGATGGGTGCGAGCTAGTACTATGAAAAAAAGTCACAATAAGCCATTTAAATTAGGCGCGCAAAGTAGAACTGGCTAAAACGCTCATCATCAAGATCAACCCAACCAACTTCTTGATCGTAATCTGCTCCTGAATAATCAAGAAATACTTCATCTGATCTTTCTGACCTCGTGAAGCAATAAGTGGTTTTGATGTTTTGGGAAGTTCCATAGTTAGGTTTGCTTCTCATTGATGGTTTTAGCTTCAACCAGCAGCAAGACTCAATTTTTTTTTACCTCAAACTCGTAAAACATGATTTCTGTTATCAAGTATATCCGGGATAAATGAAATCGTATGCAGGTAAAGTAATTAGCATGTAATAGAACTAAAGATAAAACAAACGGATGCATTTACACTCTTGTGTGTTCTGATAATTTCTACCCCCTTGCTAATGGGTTTTTAGGAAGGACATTTTCCGGAGTAACACACCATCTCTGCAATCAGTTAATAAAATAGAACGCCAACGCTACATATCGGATATCCCACGGATCGATGATATATATATATGCAAGCAAACGGCTCCAAAATTATTGAATCCAAAGAGTAGAATAAACTCACATATATCTTCGGGTGGAAAATTTCATATTTGGAATCAGGATCATGAAGACTTCAACCTCGGTTTCGACTCTCTGTTTCTTTATTATCTTGTGTTCTTCTATCCAGGTATCCGATGCCTATGTGATGTCAGGTAATACTGGGAATGTAGGTAAAAGATTCGTGGAGGTACGTATTTCACATTGAATACTTGAATGAACTCAAAAAGATTAGTGGCTGATAATTTCGTTAAAATAAACTTAAATTTCGATAAAATAAGCTTAAATTGATCGGCACAGGTTAGGAGCAATGCCAACGCAAAAAATGCAAAAGATTGACACCTATCTGTGACGTTTTGTTTCTCTAATCAAATGCCGGTATATGTACCTCATCATTATTCGTAACGATGCCAGTTAATTAGTGTCTAGTCGGAAACACAGCAATTTGCTATTTTTAATTTCCTCCCACTTCTCGATTGACTGTGCCAATTTGATTTGATTTATACCGTCTTCATCTGCTAAACTTCGAATAAACCCTCGTAAAGAAGATCTTTTTTAGTTCATTCATTAACGCATCAAAGAGATATCGAAGATATATTGCTATTCGCACACGAACCGACCATATTAATGTCACTAAAGACCCATTATATCAATAAACTCACTTCGTAGCTAATAATTAAATCCGCATCATTACGTTCAGTATGTAAGAAGTGTGTTACAGCGATAACGATGGTTTCGACTCTTTATACCTCATAGTTTCATATAGTATTCTTTACTTTTTTTTTCTCTGACCAAGTTATTTTGGTGAGCATCAATGTATCAATAATTAATTGAATAAATCCTTAAGGATGTGGCCATGGTTTGATTGGCAATATATAATAACGTAATTAAGTGAGTTTTCATGAACATTGTTTCCTTTCAGCACAATAGAAATATTCAAGACATCCGCAGCCTGGCTGAAAAGCGCTGTGGTTCTCAACAGCAGGCACGTGACATGCAAGCTGAAAGTAAAAAACTACAGGAAAGAGACTTCGAATTTTCTCATTAATGATACAATATTGAACATTCCGAAAGGCATAGGAGAAGATTAACAGTGTTTCTGTTTTAAAAAACTGTAACATTATTCTTGAAACGAAGTTCGATTCAGTTGATTTCAAAAAGGAACGTAACTTGCCTTATTTAATGGCTTTTTCTTTAGGTATATGGAAATTTATCAAGCGTGTGATTTGACAATAAATTTGTGAATGGAAGATATGTTGCTCTTGCTATTCATTCTTGTTGTTATTTTCCCAGAATTTGAAAGATGATGTACTGTGTCTTGACACTTAACTTGCGTGGTGTTTGTCCTCTCACAGATGATAGTTTTAATAGATATATATCCAAAGGGGTAGCTAGGGGAGTTCAAGGGTGGCCATAACCCCCGTTTGTAAGGGATTTTGAAGCACAAAACGGGATGGAGGTCGACAGGGAGAAGTAGCTATAGGGAGTAGGTTGAAATATCACAAATTAGATTGTTGCACGAACAGCGATGATTTTGACAAAGATTTGTCATCATTCATCGACAGCGAGCGAAAAGTCCTTTATAGAGAAGACCATACTTCAAAACCCTAGGCCTGTGCAAGTGACGAGCTGAAATATCTGCAGGAAGTTCATGAACAAGTAAACTAGCCAAATAGAATTTCAAATAAGCAGAAAACAACCCTAACAGACCTGAAAGGGAAGTTTCTATCTCGAGCTATCTCGCATTGAGATAGATTGGCCCAAAAAAGAGAACAAAATTGAAGGAGAAGCGCTTACAAAAGAGGGTATACTTGCTTCTCGAAAAACTCACTCTAAGAGAGCTAGCTCGAGAGGTGTTTAATGCATTGAAAAATAACAATATCAACCATCACAACCATCAATACTGAGTTATCCGGGAAATTGGTCGTGTCTCTTTAACTCTACCCTTTCTTATGGTGCTAGAAAAAGGCGTTTTTAAAACAAATATTACCCTTAACTTGTAGGTAATAGTAATCAGTTTAAACCGAAAAAAGGACTGAGGCGTTAAGCTTGGACGAAGACACTGCTGATAAATCGAACGAGGAGGTTATCCAAGAGTTAGCAGAGGAGGAAATCCAAGAGTCAATGTAGAATGATGTTCAAAAGTTGGTAGAAGGAGGTGTCCAAGAAGCATTGGGGGACAAGGCAGTCACACGAAACTTATCCTTTGTAGTTATATATATATATATATATACATTTTTTTACCTCTATTGTTGTTGTTTGTAATAACGCTGTACCGCCGCGCGCCTTTATCGAACGTTCCCATTGAGGGGATGCCTCTAGATGACTTTAGAGTATTTGAAATATGGAACTTTTTGGACATTTTAACTATAGAACTTAAACATTTCAAGCATCACGTTTAATACATAAGCACAACTATTGATTATTTCATTACATTAGATCGTGTCAGAACAAGAGATAAAGCTAAAAAATTGATTCCATGGCTTCACATATTTTTGTATCTTTTTCATGCCCCCTCCCACCCCCTTAGTGGCTGACCCCTCATTTATTGAACATCATGTGATCCCTCAAAAAATTCTCCATCCCAGGCGAGAAATAATAACCGGTACCTTAATTAGGTAAAATGTCGGCAAACTCATGATCACTTGAAACATAAGTCAGAGTCGTCTCTTTCAGGCGATAAAAGCATGTCTCCCTTGAAGAATGAATACGATATGTGGTCGTCTACCAAAACTAAAAAAAAAAAAAATGAGAATTAAAAGTTATCAACTCCCACCCTGGCCATCGACAATTTTTCAAAAGATAAAGTCCGAGGTAACTGAACAATTGTAACATCTCCCTACGGTGTCAAGACGCCATTTGTGGAGTCAGCGTGGCCGAGTGGTCAGCGCGTCGGACACGTCATCCGCTGCTCCCGGGTTCGAGTCCCGCTCTGACCACTATCTGGATTTCTTTCACGGTAGCTCCGAGTTCAAATCCTCGCTTATAAATAGCCAACTTTTTTGCCTCCGGCCAGTTGGGATTCTTAAGAATTTATGTTCAATTTGAATTATTTATTTCTGTTGTTGATTGTGGGCCTCCCGGAAAGTAGCTTGTAGCTAAGTGTGGTGCCACATCAAATAAAACTTAACTTAACTTAACTTATTCATCAGTTCAAAACAGTGACCATGTGATGAAAATAGAAAAAAATATTTACAAGAGTGTGTTATGTTTTGTTTATAGTACAAAATTCACCCTCAACAATTGGAAAAAAAATTTATGATACCTGTAAGGAAGAATTTCTTCAGTAGTATGGTAAAAGTTAATGTGCTCCAATTGATGGTGTGAACTATGAAAAAGTTTCCAAAAAATCTAATGTCAGCCTAAAGGCTGGCTGAATGTTTTTAACGGTGGCTGGATAACTAAGAGCTGAGGGATAACGCAATCGCCCTCAAAATCTGCAGTCAGCTAACATTAAACGAGAGAGTGAATAAGTAAAGTGCAGGCCGTCTATAAATCGGTAGAGCCCGAGAACAAAGTTATCAGGTCACCCACATCCCTGTGGGTACAAGCCTGAGGGATCCATGGTCTACAGATTAATATCGACTATCTAACGTTCTGTCTGACTTATTTCATGAAATTATCCGTAGAATAAAACTTTATTTTGATGATTCTTCGAAGACAAATAATTGGACAGCTGTTTTAGTCCAATTTCTTGCTGGCTCCTTCTTTGCGCCGACCGTAAAACAATAACGTGTACTTGACTGAATTTATTATGAAGATTTTGAGCAAATTGCGTCAAAGGGCATTTTTCACCTGCCTTCGATTCACCATTTTCTATCATTAAAACGTTGTGGAGAAATACGGATTAAAAAGTGATTGTTTGCATATGAAACCAATAACTAAAATTGTTTCGTATCCATTAAGTAGAATCTTTTGACATGTTCTGGGTTGAAATCGTTGAGAAAATGTTATCACTACTTGATGGCAAAAGGAAACTTATCGACTCTTTATCTGAGTGATCTCAGTATTTAAATAGCACATCGATATCATGATTTATTGACCTTTAAAGACGCGCGGAAACGAGATGTAAAGGGACATAGATCCTTCGATTCACGAGTGCAAGATGCCGGGTAATAAGGAAAACTGGCATTTTGTTGTATTATAAGCCTAACTGTGTTGGTTCACAACTAGAAACAAGCCAGGGAGTCATTATCACCAGCATCTATTATTCTCATATAGTACACGCAAAACAAATTTCGCCCATCTGACCGTGGCCTTTATCAACTTAAAGCAATGATTTAAAAATAAATAATTCAGTTCAAAAAGACAATGCCAAGTGATCGTGTTCCCCATTTTGAGCCCGCTTCGCAAGCAGATATAATTATTAACAATACAACAACAATTCTCTAACTAAAATTCATTGAAGCTAAGCACGGATATTAGCTTGTTTTTTTGTTTTTTTTTTTTACCCCATTTTTACGCTTCTAATTCAAATTTTATAAGCTTTGTTTCTCTTTATGTCTCGTAAAATCATGTCTCTTATTTTACATCTCTCTTACTCATTGCTCATTTCCAAGGTACATAAGTCGAAAAGGAAGCTATTAGTCGTCATGATCACTGAAAGGGGGTTTTTCTAGTAATGGTAAAGAAAACAGAAATTAAGAGTCTGAAAAGAGCTATATACTTCACTTGCAGCTACTACGACAGAAATCACTGATATGTCTTGCTGTTTTTGTAAAATTAGCTGATAGAATTAACAGCAACAGAGACATGTCAAGACTAAGGATGGTCTTTTTCTTCTCGGACTCTCGCTTTATCAGGTTAGGGTTTTAATGGGGTGATGGCTTCTAGAGTTATCGGCTAAAAGTTCGGCCATTTTAGGGCTAAGGATTAAATTATTTTCGTTACGGTTAATTGAAAAAAATTTACGGTTCCTTTTTTGCGACTAAAATTTGTCAATTTATGAATTGATTCCCCTTTATACGGCTGACGGTTTCATTCCATTGAGAATCTCTTAGGTCATAACATGCAATTCATTTACGATTTTTTTTTCCTTTTTAGAGCAAATTCTTTATCAGATGGAAACAGGAAAATCACTCGACGAATTGGCGACTATTTAGGTCAATTTTATTTCTTACGGTATTCAAAATCATGGTTTCCGTCAAAATGATTATAATTACGCTAAAAATAAAACTGATATAACTATAGACGTTTTCCGTGGGTTGGTCCGGCATACCTTTTTCATAGTCGACGCAAATCGACAAATTAAATGAAGTCTTGAAATGCTTAAAATGTTTGACATTTGCTTTGTCTCCCAGCAATGAATGAGTTGGCTGGCCGTAATCGGATCCTTGTGTTTGCGCAACGTTGTCTTGACGTTAAAAGACACGATTTCAGTTGACGAGAGATTATCGCTATTTCCCCGCTATTTTATCACAAATGGATTCAGGTAAGGTTGATACGAGAGAAGCGTACGTTTTTGTACGATCAACCATGTAATATGTAATAAAATGTACCGATTAACCTCTCACCTTGCGTAAGGCTTATTGGAAAACTGACGTCGCGCAATGGTGAGAAACAGGACTCGGGAGATCAGTGCCTCGAGTTCCAGTTTGTTTCAGAAAAATTCAAAGCAGTGAAAATACTTTTCATCTTATTCAGTGATATCGCGTGGTTATGACCGTGAAAACACAAACAACATGTAGTAGTTCTATTGTAGGTGTTGTGCGTGCAATCGATATCATCGCACACAAAAATCGTAACAAGTGATAAAAAGTCGTAAGATGTTTTTCTAATTCTTCTAATAAGTGGTCGGCACAAACCCGAGGAAGCGTTAGTGCTTAAGACTTTTAGTTAACGACCTCTTGCCGGATTATGCAAATTTCTCTTATCTAATCGTAGCTGCCCTCATGAGACGAACCAAGGGGCATTCCACAGTGATGATGGGCTAAGCCTAACCCGCCTTTAAAACAGATGATAAATAACACTATACCAGTTTTAAAGTCATTTATTTTGAAATAAACTACGGAATAAACGAAACAATTTTAAATGTTTCTACTAGAATATTACTTTCGGAGGTTTTGACAAGATTCCATCTTTTATAACTTTTCCGTGTTATACATATTGTGATGTTCATTTAAAGACGTTGTTCGCTTCGTTGCTTGTGCAAAACAAATAGCAAATTCTGAGTTTCCCAAAAGGAATTTTAACCTCTGAAGAATTTGCAGAGACCTCGATTAATCCTGATCGAGGCAATAACGAGGCTAACAAGCTTCCTTCTCACTGTTTGAATCAGCAGTGCTAAAAGAGTCGGGCATCAATTGAATATAGGAAAAATGGTTAGTTTGAAGTTCGTTTTTCGAATAAAAGAGAGGTTTTTCGTGTTGTCACATGGGTATGAGAGAAAAAATAAATAAATTTCCTCACAAACAAAAACCTGTGTCGAAGCTTTCTTTCTGTCTAAAGTAAACTGAGAACACTGAGATTAATTAGTGCTTTGACAAACTCAACAAAAATGGATCGATGAGAGCCAGTAACATAAAATAAGTCACAATCATGAACCATTCAAATTAGGTGCGCAAAGGAGACAGGTAAAACAATGATTATCAAGATCAACCCAACCAACTTCTTGATCGTAATCGGCTCCGGAATAATCAAGAAATACTTTATCTGATGTTTCTGACCTCGTGAAGCAACAAGTGGTTTTGATGTTTTGAGTAAACTACATGAAAAATTGTAAGTTCTATAGTTTTGTTTCCGCCTCATCGTTTTTTCGAACCGCTTCAACCGTTAACAGGACTCTATTTCTATTTTACTCCACGCTCGTAAAAAATTGTTTATTATCAAGTATCGAAGATAAAAGAAATGGCATGTAGAGAAAGTAATTAATATGTAGTAGAACACTAAAGATGAAATAAACGGAAGCATTTTCACTCCTTTGTGTCCTGACAACTCCCACATCCTAGCTAATGCGTTTTCAGGAAGGACATTTTCCGGAGAAACACACCACCTCTGCAATTAATTAATAGAGGAAAACGCCGAAACTGCATGTCGGATGTCCCACGGATCGAGGATATATATATATATATATATGTAAGGAAACGGTTCCAAAATCATTAAGTCTAAAGAGTACAATAAACACTCTTAATTATATCTTTTGGTGGAAAATTTCATTTCTGGAAGCAAGATCATGAAGACTTCAACCTTAGTTTCGACTCTCTGCTGCTTTATCATTTTGTATTCTTTCATTCAGGTATCCGATGCCTTTCTCTCGGGACCTGGTAGAGGTAATGTGGGTAAAAGGTTCCTCGAGGTACGTATTTCACATTGAGTGCTTGAATGATCTTAAACGCCAGCTAATTAGTGTTTAGAAGGAGACACAGCAATTTGCCAGTTTTGATTTCCTCCCACTTTCTTAATTTACTATGCCACTTTCATTTGATTTATACCTTCTTCTCCTCCTAAACTTCAAATAAAACCTTGTAAATTGGATTTTTCTGCTTCATTCATGAACGCATCAAAGATATATTCAAAATATCTTACAATAAACGCACGACCCGACAATGACGGTTAATGGCGCTAAGTACCCATTTTATCGATGAACTCGCTGCGTGTCTTAAATCCGAATACGTAAGTATGTCACAGCGATAACGATGGTTTCCAAAGTTTTTATCTTTTTATATCCCATAAAAACTTATGTAGTTAACCTTTACTTTTTATTCTCTGACCTAGTTATTTTGGTGAACATTGATGTATAAATAAATGAATTTATTTGCAGTTATGTAACAACGTAAGTAAGTTAGTTTTAATTTTATGGACATTTATTCGCTTGGTTTTGTTAGTAATCAGAAACATCGCTTTTGAGCCGAAGTCTCCAACTTTCCATATTTTCCTTTTAGCAGAAGAGAAATATGCAAGATACCTGCCAGTCCCTTTACGAGCGCTGTGCTACCCAACAGCAGGCACGTGACACACAGGCTGAAAATAGTAAACTAAAGAACAGAGACCCCGAATTTTCTCATTAATGATACAATATTGAACTTTCTGAAATAGCATAGGAGAATATTTTCAGTGTTTCTGTTTTAAAATGCAATAACGTTAGTCTTAAAAGGAATTTTAATTGATTGAAAAAGGGAACATGTATAAATGCAGATCATTCAAAACTTCATTTGGCTTGTTTAATGGTTTGTTTCTTAAGGAATGTGGAAATTAATCAAGCGTGTAATTTGACAATAAATATGTAAATGGTAGATCTGTTGCTGTTGCTTTTCATTCTTGTTGTTAGTTTGCCAGAATTTGAAAGATGATGTGTTGCGTCTCGAAACTTAATTCGCACAGTGTTTGTACTCTCACAGAGCATAGTTTTAAATAGGTACACAAGGGCGTAGCTGAGTGGGCTCCTGTGGTCCTTCCCCTTTGTAAGCCTTTTATCACAGTGTGACCCCCCTGAAAAATCCTGGCTACGCCCCAGGGTACACAATACTGTAAAGAAAACTCTATAAAATGCGTAATAGTTATTTGGCCAGCACCTTGCTCAGAAGAAGAAGCGACATTTCTTTTCACTTCGCTAATGTAAGAGAAACCAATGGTAACTAATTGTAACATCTCCCCACAGTATCAATACGCCATTCATCAATTCTTGCAGTGAGCATGTGATGGAATAGAAAAACTTATACTCTGTAAAGAAGAATTTCTCTGGTAGTATGGTAGAAGTTAATCTGCTCCAATCCCCAGCCTCGACTATGAAACGGTTTACAAAACAAATCTAATGGATGCTGTGAAAGCGTTAAACGTTAGTCTAACGGCTAGCTGGCCGAATGATTTTAGCAGCGGAGTTGACTAAAAAAGGGATGACGTAGCTGCTCTCAAAAATATCATCTGTAGTCAGAAAATAGCTGAAACTAAACGACAGAGCGAGCAAATTTCCCCCGAGAACAAAGTTAAAAGGCGTATATAAGAACGATCCTTCGCAGTAAAGCACTATTTGAGCAATAGTGGAAATCAGACCTGAAAAAAATTTCAGGCCTGTACGGGATTCGAACCACTGACCTCTGCGATACTAGTGCAGCGCTCTACCAATTGAGCTAACAAGCCAACTGGGAGCAGGCCNATCGCTACGAAAAAGAAATACTCAAATTCAAGCCTACCTTTTCCCAAGGTATACGAGTAGACTAACTCCAATTTCCCATACAAACTCTTAAAATCTGTTCGACTAGGTGTTACAATTCTTTTGTCGTGGGAACAACCTTCTGAAGATTCGCAACTGCGTAGTTCGATATGCCTTCTGCAGAAGTTTGCTCAGCTAAATCGCTCGTAAACGGTCAAATATGTTGGCCCACAAATTTTCCTCGAGCCGGGAAACTCTTCGTATTTTCACAAAGCTCAAAAGCCAAATACGCCATTTTTAAATACCCCAATTTTAGGAAGGAAGAACACGAAAGATACAAGTCCCAGTAACTGCACAATTTTGGCCGCCATTTTCCTTGTCTTGACGTCTCCTTTGGCTTTCTGGGATAGAAAGGTACCAGGCCTTTCTCTCATGGAGTTTTACGAAAATAGAAACTTACGCGTTCACTTCCCTTCCACTTCCATCGCAGCCATATTGAATTGTCTGTAATAAGATATACAGCTGATATTTCGTAAAGGGCTCGAAATGTCTCCGATTTCTGGTGATGATTCAAGACCGATAACGTATCAAACTGCTAATCTAATCCATGTGACGAAACTTCTCTTACACCCAACCATTTCCTATATGGACAAGTCGGAGGAACATTTGCGCCTGATAGAGTTGAGGAAGTAGAATTTCAACCAAAGAAACGATGGCGGAGAGTCCAAGAACTCATCTCGCATTTCTGGCGTCGTTGGCTCAAGGAGTGACTACCAAGCCAAAACGTACGATCGCGGTGGAACGAAGAGAAAAGAGATTTGAAAGTGGGAGATGTGGTGCTTGCCATCTCCAGTGACCTACCAAGAGCCCACTGGCCGCTTGGCAGAATCACCGACATTTACCAAGATAAGGACAATCATGTTCGAGTTGCAAAATTAAAGTCCAAGTTGGGCAAAACTCACTCTTACGTCCCGTTAACAGGCTGATTCACCTGGACGTTGTTTGAAGAAATGGAGTCTCTCATTAAGCCATCGTGACGAACACTCTTAATATTTAGAGCTTTAAGTGTTGACTTAAGAAACTTTACATATTGAATTTAGCTGTGAACATTAAAAATATTCCGCATGAGACATTGATACGCGCGATTTCCCGTCAAGTAGGGCGAGAATGTTCGGGAGAAAATTCCCGTGCGACTTTATTGTGTTTAAGGAAACTAATTAGCAAAATTCGGGCGGATAGTTACGCAACACAGTTAGTTATTCGCAAGGTGTGACAGTTTCGGTATATATAAGATTTAGCATCTTGAAGACTAGGTTTACACTTGAGGAAATTGTTCCGGATTTGTGATGAATCCGAAACGTTTTAGTACCGGAATCATTCTGCCGTATACACGAAAGTGGACGAATCCGAAAAAAAAACTTCCCGGTTTGGTCGTGTCTCCGGAGATTTTGAATCCGGAATTTAAAGTGGGAACTTTGAATCCGATAACTTTTGAATCCGGAAAATTTTGTCGTGTAACGCTTTTTTTCTCGAATCCGGATATTATTTCCACCTGCAATCTTTTGAGTTTGCGGTGAAACCAAAATGGATCTGGTGCTAACATTGCTGGCGGTCTCCGGTTGCCTAATCTTGTTGCAGGTTCAGGCGATAAATTTTA